TTTTAGAGGGGTCGAAATTTTGGAGTTTTCGCGGTGTTAATTATTCCATTTCAATGAAACTTAGTACAAAGATGCTCTAGGACAATGTACAAACCTAATTAGTTTGGGGTAAAAATCTGTTCATATTAATTCCCTAATAAGCAAAATAATTCATAATTTTTTGGTTCTGTTACATTGCGCAGACCTCATTAGTTTTACACTCAAATCTGGTCATATTAATTTTCTGATTTGCATAATTAGTTTTCAGCTAAGTAATTTCGAATTATATTTAATGTGTCTCCAATACTCTCAGCACATGGGAGTTCTTTCTAAGCTTTCTTTGATTGAAGTTGTGTTTGACTTAGTGCCGACCCCTTCTGAAATGCCCCAAATTTGACTGTCAATGCAGGAAACTATTCATTGACATTGTTTCACTTTTTAGCTCCACTGTCGACTTTGTCGAGTGGAGCTTATCATACGAGTGATTGTCCGTCGTCATTCGTGTCAATGTTTTACTTTTTCGACTTCTTCTTGAAAACTACGAGCTTGAATGATTTGATACTTGGTGTATATGTACCTTGGGTAGACCTCTCCCAGATTGTTCATTTCATGATGATATCTTCAATCCTCTAATTTTGGTGAATATTTTTGTCATTTTTAATAAAAAGTGATATTATCAACTACTTTTTGAAAACTGCAAGTCAGATTGCTTTGATACTATACATATTGTTCTTTTTCTAATGATATCTTCTGTTCTTTAATTGAAATGTGTATTGCTAACAGCGGAGCTATCTCAGCTGAGAAGCTGCTTGTTTGAATAATCACGATGTCAATTGTGACTATCGGGAATGGAGTGTGAACTATGCTTCAATGCTACTTGTTGACGATCGTGAACGATGTTATTCATTTCTGGTGTATAGTCTGGTGACTAGCAGCATGTAAGCTATACTTAAAAATACACATCCATTTCATCAGATACCTGTCTAGAAATAACCGGGATAAGATCAGGTTATCAAAATGGAGTTTTGCTGCTGCCAATGATTTGCATTTCATCTCATAAAAAGAGTATTTTGTAATTAATCGTTTTAAATATCCGAATGTCAATTTTGTGTACAAATTTCTTTCTAGTCACCATCAAGTTTATGTGAAATTAGAGTTGGCACCAATGGTGGACGTGTTAACAAGGCATTTATTACATACATCAATGCAAACTAGGATGGCAGTCTTGAAATGGATTTATCATTTACATATAAAAACTCCAAATAAGGTAATGGATTTATCATTTACATATAAAAACTCCAAATAAGGTAATGGATTAATCATTTACATATAAAAACTCCAAATAAGGTAATAAATTGATCATTTACATATAAAAACTCCAAATATGGTAATGGATTTATCCTTTACATATAAAAACTCTAAATAAGGTGATGGATTTATCATTTACATATAAAAACTCCAAATAAGGTAATAGATTTATCATTTACATATAAAAATTCCAAATAAGGTAATAAATTGATCATTTACATATAAAAACTCCAAATAAGGTAATAAATTTATCATTTACATATAAAAGCTCCAAATAAGGTAACATTTTGGATATGTATGCAGCAGTGTACTTTCTAATGAGGCGAATAGGGTCAAAATGGAATTCTAAAAATCAAGTTGGGCGAGTTTGTTGACAAAATTCTTAACTAATACATGTAGATGTATTTTCAATATCATTGTATTAATTTCTGTTGTGTCACTGACGTGCCAGGGAATGAGCATAACTATAGAAATCTCTGCATCCGTGGTGCATCATATCGAAAATGGTATGCAGTCACATGCACAGAGTATATGAGATTCATATTCGTAGCTCTAAACAATTCTTACTACAAACTTTGCACTGTGTCGCTCATATCACATTTGAGGAAAATTTATCTTCTCTTGTAGATTTTTAATCATGTTGAAGAATTGTTCCCTGTTCTGTTGAAAACATTATCTGATACTTCAGATGAGGTAAGTTTGATCTTTTGATTTTGTAGAAAATAAGCAAAATTGTGATTGTTTTAGAATCATTAATTTACCATATTAGCTCTATTAGAAGCACATCTCCATGAGTAGCCTGACATGTAGGCGCGAGTGGCACCCTCGCCAGCCGAACGGCATTAGTCTCTGACAAAATAGTGTAATTCTTGTCGGCAAGATCAATACTCTGAATTCGCAAAGTTCACACTTACTTGCAATGAGTTTCAATGAATATTCATTTTGGTGGTCATGGTAACACCGACAATCAAAGCTGTGTTTGCATTGTCGGCAAAAATCGCAGACTGTTTTCAACAAGATGATAAACATTGGGCGGGAATAAACTCAATGTTTACTCTTTGATGGCTGTCATTATCTGACAGTCCTGCAATTTGATTGGTATTGACAAAAAATCGTTGTGGGAAGTGAAACACTACATTGTTCTATCAGGGATGTGTTGAGTTTGAGCACCGCGGACGGCACAACTCGCGCGACCTTGTCAGACTACTCCATTAGAAGTAAATGTAACAAAACATTTGCCTTTATTGTACAATGGATTATTCAAATACAGTCAAACCTGTGTTAACGACCACCTGTGCAGAGCGACCACCTTCATGCAGTCCCTTCACAATTTACATGTTTACGACACTGGATATGTAGCGACAATATGCCCAATGCAACCAACAACCACCCTATTGTAGACAAATTTGCAGCAAAGAGACAATAGCTACTTGCAAATCGCTAACAGGAAAGCAGTCGCATGATCACTAGTGCAATCTTTCTTTCGATCACACCTTTCGGGTGTAAAGTTGCGAATATGGCATGCTGAATAACGTCTGGAGAATGGAAAGATGTCATCACTATTTTACCAACAAATTAATGCTTCAAGTGAACTAAAACTAAAGAATTGAATTAAGTAAGAGCCGTTTATTTTGGGCAGTTTTGATACATTGATGCTTGCAACTTTGAACTGCAAAACTATGTACCATACATCTTCGTGGTTCAAACCTAGTTTCTGTTTTTGCAGCTGTCATTATGATTTCAGAAAATTTTCTATGCTTCTTCTTTTTTTATGCATGGTTGTTTCCTGTGTACTATCTGCTGTACTAATGATGATACTAATCACCATCTGTGCTGGGAAAGTGTTGCTACCGGTATTATTAATAAAGTACTGGCGAGAGTGTGAAAGATCGAGGTGAAACGCCGATCATTGATAGGTTTGCATTGTTCTTATGCCATATATACATGAGCAGAATCACTTGGCTCCAGTGATCATTGTGTATACATCATCCTAGCACCTATCGAGAATACTATGAGGTTATTACGAGGATACCACAAAGTATGCACAAGGACAGAACAGCGGAAGTATCGACCGACGCGCAGCGAAGGTCGATTTGACGGCGTACTGTCTAAGTGCATACTTTGAGGTATCCTCATAATAACCTTATTAGTATACATCTTTTCCATCCAAGGATATATCATGGGAATGCCGAAATCCAAAAAGTTTAGAACAGAGTCAGCAAACTTTTTTGTGTGGAGTCAGGTCAATCCCTGGCTGCAACCATGTTTTGTTTTTTTATTGGAGCACACTTACGCGCGTAATCATTCCATATTTGGAATTTGCATTTCCTTATATGGTAGGATGAAAATACTCTGTAAAACACCGCAAAATTACGGCATGCTGTAACTTATGGCGTTATAGTGATAGATGTATAATAATTATTATTATGACAAGCTTTTACCTAATCAAAAAACATAGACTTCAGGAGGGAGAGTAGTGGTTGTCCAACTTCATGACAAAGGAAAGAGTACTCGGGTGATAGCAGAACAGTTGGGATTAGGAAAGACTCAGATTGGCTGCATTGTAAAAAGAACTGCAGAAGTTATGGAAGAATATGAAAATAATGTCCCCACTGATTCTATAAAAGACACAGCATTGTTTTTGGCAAGATGAATGGTGAAATTGGTGATGTTAGTGGTTAAGTGATGGATGAATGGAACGAGAGTCTACCAGCAATTTGTGAAGGGTATGATCCCAGAGACATTTTCAAAATGGATGAAACATGTTTGTTTTTTAAAAGAACAACTGACAAAAGTATTTCATGGGAGACGACTTCATTCATGTTATGTACAAATATGGATGGAGAAATAGAGAAGTCACTGATCATCGGAAAGTCAATTAAACAAACGAACATTAACCCAAAAACACTTCCTGTATTATACCATGCTAACAAAAAAGCATGGATGACCTCAGCAGTGTTTGAGGATTGGATGTGCAAGTTTGACAGAAAACTTCTGAATGTGGACAGAAGAGAAAGGCAATTCTTTTCCTGGACAATGCCACATGCCATCCAAACTTCAGACCTCGTAATCTGAAGCAGAAGTCCCCCCCCCCCCAATGGATCAAGGAGTAATTCAGGCACTGAAGTTGAAATTTCGCAAGGAACAACTGCAACACATCATCACAAAGATGGACACTGATAAATCAGTGTTTGGTCCAGAGACTGTTAAGTCAACAAACATGCTGGAGGCGATCTACTGGATTCAGCGAGCCTGGCAAGATGTTGATGAATCCACCATAGTGAAGTGTTTTAAGAAATCTGGTTTCCCTTCAGACCAGGATATTGCTGATAATCCTGAAGAGGAAGAAACTGATTAGTTCTTGGATGCAGCAGCACATGACTTGTTTGGTTGTTCTTTGCAGGATTTGGTTGATATTGACAATGACCTTGCAATATGCAACACTGACACTGATTGGGAACAATCAGCTGTGCAGTTGTTGGCTACCGACAACAATGATGATGACAGTGGTGATGAAAGTGACAAAGAAAATGATGCCAAAACAACTACCTCCAGCTCAGCTGGAGCTGAAGAAACAGTTGAAGATTTTAAACAGTTTGCTTTACAACGAGGGCACGAAGATATGTTAAAACAGCTTCTGAATTTACAGGACATAATTTGTAAAAAAAAAAAAAAAGTAAAGCTGTATAATTATCTAAACAAATAAAACTGAAAAAAATAATTTATTTAGTAACAATGTAGTAAAATTAATATTTAATAATGTAAATAAAAATAACACACTATTTATTATTGTTTTTATTTATTGTACAATATGGATGTTTGCTTGTCTGTTTACCTTATGATCTCCCTTAAAATCCCCACCGTTATTAAATATTCATCAATAAACTAGGCCACCCTTCATATAAAGACCAGCTGTCTATAAAGGATAGTTTGGCTCAGTCCACTGACTGTCCTTTTTAGACAGGTTTGACTGTATAACTTATTTTGACATTTATGTAAGCACATGCGCTACTTATAATAATTCAAATCATTTCCAGAGTTTGTTCATGTCTTCTATTTTATTGTACCAAGGTTGTTCTGCTGGATATAGAAGTATTGGCAGAGATTGCATCATCAACTGCTGGTGCCGGCAAGGACTGCAAAGATGTGGGTGGTTCCAGCGTGGAACCAGTGCCAGGAATGAATGTATACTTCACAAAATTCATGGTGAATTTAATGAAATTATTCAGTACTGACAAACATTTACTAGAAGATAGAGGATCTTTTATTATCAGGTAATCCACTCGTCAGCTTATTGCTTATATAGAGATAATTAACATAAATCTCCCATAATGCACTGAAAGCTTTTGAGGTCATAGTTCAAAATCAACAATTACATATTGTATTCATAGTTTACATATTTGCAAAAGTTTTTAAAATGATGTAATTAGACAAGAAGTAAGATATTGATAGATATTGTGTACAAAAATGTTAATGGGTACAGGGAGGTTATTGATGAGGTCAGAGTGTAAAGGTCACATATCCCGGTACTTCAGGGAATATTCCCAACCAATAGCAGCAATAATTTTCAATAGTTTACATCAGTTTTTGACTGTTGTTAAATGTCAATGACAACTGCTTGCATTTTTGGTGAAAAAAATTGAGAAATTCTCATAAATTTTTACCCCAGATAGTACCAGGATGTGTGACCTTTTAGGCGGTCTTGCGGATGATTAGGGATTTGCTGTGAGGTATAAATATAGACATCTCATGTGTAACGTTCATCTTACAGGCAGCTGTGTTTACTTTTGAATTCTGAAGATATTTATAAAGCTTTATCTGAAATTTTAATACATGAGGAAGAATTGAAGTTTGCCTCCAGTATGGTCCAGACATTGAACAGTATACTGTTGACATCTACAGAGTTATTGGATTTGAGATTACAATTAAAGGATTTGAAAACCAAAGTGAGTCCAATTAGATTTTAGTTTTATATGTTTATGTTCACCATGGTACTATGATCGAATTATGGCAGAAAATATTTATTCTTATGGACTGGGGAATACAGTTTTCAATTTTTAATCATGTTGCATAGTATAGTATACATATTATTATGCAACCAGCCTCTGACACATCACCTACTGAAACCAGCTACTGTAGAATACTTTATTTTCGCTTGGAATTTATTTTCGCTATTTTCACTGAAGGAATGATTCCGTGAAAATAAAATCCAGCGAATATACATTTTTCCCTATATTTTACATTAATCTCATCCAAAATCAGTGAAAATAAATTCCAAGCAAAACGACCAAAAAGCCTTTTCAGCGAAAATTAATTCCAGCGAAAATAAAGTATTCCACAGTATATGGTTAGCCATAATGAATGAGAAAACACAGCGTCTGCAGATAATGTGTTAACCTTTTCACCACCAAGACTTTCTCACCCAAATTTTTCTGCACTTTTTTCTTGTATTTTTCAATATTTCTGGAAATGAGTTTGTGCTTTGAAGAATTTTGCTATTTTTGTCCCAATCGTCTGAAGAAAAATGCAGACTATAAACTAGACTGTTGGTGAAAAGTTTAAACTGACTAAGTCACACACCACATAATTTCACATGATCTCCACGTACCACACACTACCACACCCATACATTATTTCCATACATACAACCACAGTCCACACAGACACCACACCACTACTCCACATCACTACTCCATCGCTTTAATAGCAATGTGAAAAATATAATTTTTGAGAAAATATTAAACTAAAATTTGATTTTTCTTTGATTTTCAGGAAAGCTGTGCGTTATTCAGCTGTTTATACAAGTCTTGGTGTCACAGTCCTGTAGCTACCGTGTCGCTGTGCTTTCTTACACAGAATTACAAACATGCATGTGATCTGCTTCACCTATTGTATCCTTTCTAAACATGAGCCATAGTGACATGTAGTTGTCATGGTGACACCAAATCAAACCTGTAAATGGGCTATGCAAGACAGCTTGTTTTTAGGGTGTTTTCAGCCCCATGTAGTAACCCCTTGCAGCAGAAACCGTTATTCATTGTACAATTATGTATTTTTTATAGCTGGAACACAGGTAATTTGCAGAAAGTATTTGTTCTTATGGACTGGGGAATGAGGATTTTAATTTTGAATCATGTGTCATAGACACAATCGTGAACAAATCGCCTTAAAGTTTAATTTTCCCATGCAGTTTATGATCAACCAATGTACTTCATCAATTAGCACAGCCACTTATATTCTCCAACCAGTCTAATTGAACAGGCAGGTTATATTTCAAATTACAACTCTAGACCACCCTCGTACTCAGTAGAATGGTCGCCATGGCAACTCGGTTGATCTGAACATCTCATGATTGATCTACAATTGTAGCCACTCAATCTTTCTGTTATAAAAAGGTGTTTGGAATTTAAACTTGTCACTTTGATCTTTCCTGCGAATATGTGAATTACTCATAAACCCAGTGTATCAAAGAATTTACAGTAATACACTAGGAAGTAAGTAGTGCTAAAAATGCTTTAAATATATATAGATGTCCCACTAGAATGCATTGATGTCATTGAAAATGACCATGTATATATTTTCTTGTTTTGGTCTTCTGTGTGTCTTCGTGATAGTTCATGTCTTGATAGTGTGTCTGTTTCCTGTTAATCTATTAATAGAGGATGTTGTTATTATTTTTCTGGAATGTCATTTCTGGGTGTTTCTTTTTCTTAACACGTATATTTTCCATGCAGCGGTGACTTAGAAGTAACGGTTGTTTTCTTAACAGAGATTGATAAATTAGTGCAATTAATAGAGTCCCCTATTTTTACATGTAAGTACAATAGATAGGAATGACTTTATTGAGAACACAATATTTTCTTTTTTAAAAATTCATTCAGAGATGCAACTCAGCAAATGGTGAGCTACCATGCTAGTAATATCTCATTACACATTCAGATATATGTATATATGTATCAGAAATGTCTCATGGCCTGTATGCTGTGTACAGGGAATTACGCATAATCATAAAATCCCCAGATCAGATCAGCACATTCATTCAACCAATCCGTAGTTAATAGCTGACCACATGACAATGAAATAGTACTAGCATCCTAGCTAGTAACTTGATGTTGTGTTTCCAGCACAATGTAACAGATTCAACGAGCCAATCAAAGAACATGCTACTTGGTCACTGGCTTTTATAACATATCAAACAAAGTACTGAAACTTTTGTTGATTTTTTTGTTTGAGGGCAGTATTTCTGACTCATTCTTTGCTCTCCTTTTTTTGAACACTGAGGGCAGTATTTCTACTAATTCATTCTCTTTCCCATTTCAGATCTGCGGTTACAGCTCCTAGACGTGGAGCATAATCAATATTTAGTTAAAAGTCTGTATGGTTTATTAATGTTATTACCTCAGAGCTCAGCATTTACAATGTTACGGCATCGTTTAGATTGTGTTCCCAATTACCAGGTTTTACCCAAAGATGACAGGTAAGAATTCTGATGAAAAATTACTAAAACAATTTTTGTGTTTTGAGTATCGATATAGACAATTAATCGCTGACTAGGTATGATTTTATATTTTAGCACATTGTCTGCAAACATACATGTACCAAAATTATTGTGGGAAAAGCATTTTTTTTTTTTTTTGGTATGAAAAACCTCAACAAGAAATAAAATAAACAAGGTAAAAACACAAAAATTAAGCCCCGAAGAGTCCCACATCAAAGTCAATATCTGGGATAGCCTACAAAGTTATATGAATTGCGCCCTCTAGTGTTTATTATTTTATTTAAATGTTTTTGCAAATCAGGTGGGCTACTGTACTGTACTGTACTGTACTGTTTACTATATTCTTTTTACTTTATTAATTATTTACTTTATTCCAATATGATTGGCCTGCATGTGTTCGGGAAGGTAGATGAAAGTAAATTATAGCTCGAACATAATCATTGTTTAATTGCAGATGTGAAAAATCTATTGACATATATGTTAGTTTTCAGCATACATTTCCTTCATGTAACTAGGTACTAGTCAATCACTACATCAAAGGAAGTACGTGACGACAACATTTGTGGAACGAACATAGCTACTTCGCATTTAATAAATAATGTTATCCTCATTTGCATAAACAAAATTTCCTGAAAAAATACTAGTAGCTAGGGTTACGGAAAACACAGAATTTTTTTGGATTTGTTGCTCAGTCCATAAGATGTAGGTAACACCATAATCCAACATTTCTGTGTAAAGATACTAATAAAAGCTTTTTTTTGGCTATTCAATTATTTAATAAAAAAAAGTTTGTTCTAGCGCACATCATGAATGTACGGTGTATGTAATCCGTCCATATGAACCAGGAAAGCTGTCTAAACCAAACCTTATGAAAACTGAACCCTGTCTGAAAAGAACTCTGCGTGAAACAAGACATGTCTAAATGGAGCAATTTCCTTTGTCTATTTTGACAGGTTACAATGTACAAAGTAGGTTGAAATAATGATAGCCTGTCTGTGTGCATTGAAAGCCTGAACAAATAAGCAATAAAAAGAGTATCCTGGAAGTGTATACATTAATATCACTCAAGATCGAGACACCCTGTAATATATATGCGTTTCAATCAACTACCTTTTAATTCAAAATTATTTCTCATAGAGAAGCTTCAAAAACCACAATTTTTCCCGGCGAGGTTACCTTATTATTAATATTTTTTTTGTAAGATAAGTTGGCTGCCATTAAAGCAGACAATCAGATTACATTGACTTTTACGATGTGGATTTATTTGATTATGTCATTACTCATAAAACGCAGATAAGGATTGATATATTACTTTTTGAGGAAAAAAAGGATCAAATATCTATGAAAATGGTGTTTTTTGATCAATTTTACCGTTGTTTCTTTGGCAAAAGGATGTCCTCATGTCTCAAAATTTTGTTTAGTTATTGTAAGTGTGATAAATTGGTTGTCCTGAATTATTAGGAAATTCTGTCAATTAATTAAAATTTATTTTTTATGAAATTATGGTTTTAATTTATATATTCCTATTTTTCTGCAAAATATTTTCTGTACTCATTGAAAACATTGATGAATTAATAATTTTCCACAGTAGAACGTCTGAAGAAATTCAAAACAAAAATCAAACAGCATTCTTGCTGTGAACAAAAGACACTCACAAAACCAAAGCATGCACAATTTGCATAGCAAACAAGCTAGACACACACGCGTGGTACTCACAGAAATGAACCTGAATAATTAATCGTTGTGAAATGAATGCAAAATTAATAATTCTCATGATTTAGAAATCAAAAAATATTCATCAGAATTAGTAATTAAAAGAAATTGGGTTTTTAAGTGTTGATGAAATAGCCAGGTGATAGCTGTAGAAATATTTTTGCTTTTTCTTATTTTGAATGATATTATTTCTCTCATTTTTTTTTCACTACAGACCAACAAAGTCACCAGAAGACAGACCTTACTTAAAGACCATAAATTTCAACGAACTTTTAGAGCATTTCATCAAAATTCAACATGACCATGCAAAGGCGAAAAGACCACGCGCTAGAAACGTTGAAGAATATGTCAGGAAATTAGATTTTTAATGATGACGATTTTTATTGTGCTATATAATCATTAGTCATAGCTGGGTGATTCCATTATTTGTAGGGATGCTGTAAATGTTGCGTAATGTAATGTGGAGGTAGAAAATCAGAGATATTACTTACCTAATTATGGTATAATAAAATTGTTCTTTTACGAAGTCCTTGATGCAAAAAAACAGGTTCATTGTCATTGTTGCATTGTTTCACCCCAGAATGTCAATCTACTACCCTAAAAATGCTACTGTATCACAATATACTGGTGTTGGGTACATATATATATATATAGATAGATACATGTAAATAGGTTGTCTTGTCAAAGTATGTAAATATTTTCTATTTTTGTCAAGCAAGCAATATGTTTTAGCTTTAATGGACTTAATTGTCATTGTTTTCTTGGATTTCTTTCACAATATTGAATCCATGTCTTAAAAAAAATGATTTAATATTACTCAATAGAATAATATGTTGTAATTATCTGTACAGCCTAGCAAATTAAATATGGTTTCTGGATGTGTTTAAGTAACCACAAATATGGACTGTCAATTGCATTTTTATGTCTGCTCTGATTATTTTAGCACACCTTTGGTCATGAGAATGTTAAATATATTTAAAATATCTAATAGTTGCTATAAAAACAACTATAAAAAATATGATTTAGCTAATAATTCATAATAATATTTTTTTAAAGATTGGCCAAATTAAGTAATATTGACATTCCATGAAATAACGTTGTAATTTACATGTGTGTAGTTCAATCCACAGTCAAGTAATCCTGACAAACATTAGTACGGCATATGCACTACCGTATTCACCTATATCTAAGCTTTCAGATGATATATAGGTTGTTATAGTAGCATGCTTAGTAACTTTAAGAGAATGTCTGAATCACAGATCAATTTATAACTTGTTTTCCTCCTGAGATCTAATGTATTTACCCCAGGCGCTGGAGGTTGTAATGTTCGGCCCGCCCGGTAGAATAATGCTACAGAAACATTTGTATGACGCCCAACCCATCTAACCAAAAAAAACCTCACCCTTCAAAAAAACATCCTGATATTATCTGAATGGTTTCTATGGTTACTTCAGTTACATATTTTGTAAAATCGCATAATTGTGACAAATTCTATACCTCCAACAATGCCAGGATGTATGACCTCTAGGAGGTGTGTACTGCAGTCATTCAAACCCATGCAACATTTTGTATGTTTTTATAAGTGTTTAAACAATTCATTAGCTATGTCTGGACCAAACGAATATAATTTCCTTCTTGATACAGCTCAAGATCAAAATAAAAAATACAAATGCTGTTTTGTTTTTTGTCATTTGTGAAAAAATTAGACTTTGGCATTAGAAAGAAGGCAGTCTGGGGATGCTAGTAACAGTTGTAGGAGGGCAGCCAACAATCAGAAGGGATTGGCATGAGAGGGCACACCTGGATTTGGATGGAACATTTTAAAGTCATTCGTTTGCAGGCAATCATCAAAGCAACAATGTCTTTACGAATAGATAAAATCTTTTCAAAGATTTCTTTCCAGAAAAATCTTCAACAAAATTTAGAAACATTACGTAGCAAGGCCAATTCAATGACAACTAATTTGGCGCTACTAGTTTCTTGCAGGAGTGACTTCTACAATATTTTATTACTTTCAAAATTGTTCCATTCTCTAAATTAGATAACTTGACGCTGGTAAAAAAAATTGAAAACGTACACAATTTGAAATATCAATGAGCCTCTACATTCTCCATAGAATTCATGGTTTGCTATGATCTTGTTGGATCAAAAAACATGCCTCGAAAAAGTCTATTCAGGGGATACTAGAAACTGCGGTAACAGGGCAGTCTACAACATTAGGATATTATAAGGCGATACTCGAAACTGTGTTGTAGGAGGATCATCTACAACATTGATTATTCTGGGGGATCGACAATTAAAGTACCATAGTGCATGCTCTACATTTTGGGAGGATTGTACTCTCTCTTTCTCGCTGACATGTCTGGAAGCATTAATGAACTTTACCGCTACAGAGTAATGACCATGTTCTTTGTTTATTCCATGTGTATATACCATGCTGGTCTGTGTGAATCCAATTGGAAAAAAATATTGGCAGCCATTTTGCAGTTGAATGAGTACATGTGAAACCTACACTCAAAATGACTGAACATGTGAATGCTGTGATACTTGTATTTGTTTTCATTTTGTGTGCAAGTTACAAGTATCTGGGAATCAATAATGCATACACAAGGTCCACTTAATTTTTTTTTTTTATATTCTTATTAGTCAACTACAACAAACAAAAATCTAAGGCCTGATACAAATGCAGTGCAGTACACACAAACATGAAAAAGTAACATATAAAAAAAATGATAATAGTAAGAAAGTGAAACATGTTTGAACAGAATAAATAAAAAAGGGGTAAAGCTTGATTTTAATGGTTGCAAATTGAAGTGGAGATGAATAATCATGTGATTAGTATAAAATATTGCTTTTAGTGAATATACCTTATAAATTCCTGTTAGTATGTTCAATATTTCTAATTAAAAAACGCTGCTCAGAAAACCACACTTGAGAACAATATTCAAGGTTGCTTCTTAGGAGTGAGATGTATACATTCATTATTGTTAAAGTGCTAATACAAACAAGTTCATGAAAACCCAGCAACCTAGTTTTTATTATATGAGCTCTGTCGTACGATATGAACTCATTGCATTGTGGCATATTTCAGGAGGTGTATAATTTATTCTTTGTGATACACTTACTGCAAACACCAAATCTCTTGATTGCTTGGTTGAGGTAATTAATTGCTTTGGTGGCTTTTTACATGAGGTCGCCCTCTACAGTCAGGTATGATAATCTGTTGTAACCAAGAAGCTTAAAGCGCGGTGGTCGTCGCGAAGCGCGTGTTGTAATTTCATGTAAATAAACAATGTATTTCACGCGCGTTGTATACGTCGCTATGAGTCCCATATGGAACAGGACGCGACGCGACGGCTGTCGCCCTTCAATTATTTACTAAATTCTCCAAATTCAAAAAGATTCAAACTTAACTTGATCAGAATAGATTTTTTTTTTGCATCCATTTAAATTGTGTTGCATTCTGTTGTTGGACGGATACAATACTTTATAAAATGACAAAATAGAAGCAAAATTAATGTTTTTATCTATTTGTTCTGTTAGTGTTAGTATCGCATGTCTTGACAGAAGTTTGCGGAAATTTTTGCTAAGATATTAACCCCAAAATAGGAATATAATCTCGTTTCTGGTCATTGTGCATCAGTTGAAAACATTAGGGGAAAAAAATGAAATCAATTTAAAAAAACTTACAAGAAACTCTTTTCTTTTCGTTCATGGCATTACCTGTGACTGGCTATTTGAAAGTTGGAATGATAACCCCTCAGTTTTCAAAGCGCGGTGGTCGTCGCACCGCGTCCTGGTCGTTGTGGGACTCATCATGGCGACGTGCACAGCGCGTGTAAAATAAATTGTTTGTTTTCAGTTGCGCTGCGCGACGACCACCAGCCTTTAAATTGGAAAATCGCAAACTGCATTTCATTTAATATTGATAGAACTTTTCCCCAGCTAAATATCAAAAAGTCTTCTATTTTTTCTGGAGTTTTACTAGTTGGAAGCCATTGTTTTTACTGTAACCATTCCAATCACACACACACACTGCATCATGTGTTTATGTAATGATCTAGCCCTGCAGTCCTAATGAATAATGTTTGTACATCTGTCATGCATTAATAGCAAACTACTACCCGGTAAGTGCTCTAGATGAACGGGTGAATATAATAAGAAGACAGTCATATGGTATAATGGCAGGTATTTGGAAGCAGACGGATTGAGTCAATGTTGTTTAGCACTCTACTCCGTACGTATAATGGTGCTTCCATTTATACACTCTCATATTTTATTTTATTAAAAATACATACTGTATGCATGTTTTAAGGTACTTCTCATATGTATTACAATATAAGTGCAATATTTATAAACTCATATCACCCCGTAAAAATTAAAAAGGCCACAAAATTAATCTCCCCAATGAGTAAACAGCTCAGGGACCGTAATTAATGTAATGCAAATTCATATGGTCGGATATTTATGACACTGTATAAACTACTTAGATGGTATTGTTTATAATTAGGGGTTGACCAACTCTAGGAGGGGGTGGGGCATATGGCAGATTTTGACAAGAAACAAATGCACAGAGAAATTTACAGAGATAAATACAGAAGACAATAACACATATTGTATAGAGTAATGTATAATAAATTACTGCAATGTCTCGAATAGCTCAAAATTCAAATTATACAATTTGCTCACTGTAATTTCCTGGTGCGGTTTATAATGGTCCATTCCGAATACTAGTAACAGCAACTTGAACTGCCATGAATGGAGGTAAACTTCCTTTACCTCCATGCATGAACCAATGTGGCAGAGAATGGCAATGCACTTTGGGATTATATTAAATGGGTAACATGTGTTGTGGAGTACATTTCATTTGCCATTTCATTTGCACATGCCTGTCAAGGTCTGGTGTTTTCTGTCACTTTGTTTTATCTGGCTAACTCCCAAACAAAAGTGATTGGACGACCTTCTATCGTAATGTAGCATGTTGATTTCATGAGTTAAAGTTGAATGAGTCCCTTGTTGGTGGTTACTTCAATCATTGATGTCCTATTGAAACGCTTTATTTAGAACGAATCGTCTTGATCATGACTCATGCGTGCGGCCAAAGGTCATATGATTGATTAGAAAGTAAACAGCATTAATTTTCAATTACAGGCAAAGCTGGTTCAAGGTCAATGGTATTGAAATAATTATGTGTTTTTGCAATGTACTGAATCTACAAATTGCTGCGAATTTACACATTTCAAACCGATATTATTTTTTCGTTATTCGCTCTTCTTTTTGATATGAAAAAAAAATATTGCAAATGTAATACGATTTCATAGTTTGTATATATTTATAAAGCTAAAATCATTTCCCCCGAGGAGCACAA